GGGGGGACACAGCTGGACAGCGGCTGCGGTGGCACAGCTGGACAGATGCTGTGGTGGCACAGCCGGGCGGTGGCCGTGCGGCCACGCTGCCCCCAACCCTCCGGTGCCAGGGCCGGGCTGCTCCCCAGCCCCAGGGCAGGAGTGGGGCTGGCCACTGGCCCCACGGGGGTGTGCCAGGGGTGCAGCGCCCTGAGCCCTGCGGCCCTGCCTGCGGCCCTGCCTGCATCGTGCCTGTGCGCAGTGGCAACCACGTGCCCTGGCCCCCAGAGCGACTAGCGGGCTCATGCCAGCCAAAGCAGGGTTGGAGGGTGGGGGGACGAGGTGGGGAGAAGAGGGTGGCCGAGGGGCTGCGGCGTGGGCCCTGGTGCCGGCAGGCACTGCGGCAGGGGGGCCCACCCGCAGCCCCCCGCCCCGGGGGGGCCCGTCCCCGCCCCCTCCCTCCCACGCCGGGGTGTCCCCTGGCCCTGCCGGCAGCCGGGCGCAGGCAGCGGCGGGCAGGGGCCCCGCCTACCCGCTGGGTTCGCCCCACGGTCGGCGCGCGCGGCGCGGCCGAGGGGCTGCGGCGTGGGCCCTGGTGCCGGCAGGCACTGCGGCAGCTGGCCCCACCTGCAGCCCACCGCCTGGTGCGTTCCTGCTGTCCTTGCCGTCCTGGCACCATGAGCTTCTCCGCGCTGGGGACAAGACCGGTCACCCCAAAGCCCAGAGGGGCCGGTGCCCGTCCCTTAGTGAAGCCGGGATGGGACGCACCAGCTGCCCCGGGGTCGATGGAGGATTTCCACTGCCGTTCAAGAGCCTTGAAGGCTGCTACCACAGAGGTGCTGCCACATTAAATGAGTTACAAATTGGCTGTCCAACAGGTCATGAAATGCCGCTGGGAAGGGCCAGCGTCTCTGAGCGGGGCCCTGGCTCCCACCCCTGGCCTGGCTGTAGCCAGCCTGGTGCCTGTGCCGGGGAAGCAGAGAGCTTGTGTGGGATGGTGCAGGGCCGCACAGCCCAGCGCTGGAGATGGCCCCAGGAGAGGGTCTGGCCGGGCAGAGGGGCTCATCAGGAGGCGGGCAGGGGCACAGGGGGGTGGCAGGCATCTGCAGAGCCCGGGAGCCAGCCGGGCAGGGCTTCTTCCCTGCCCATCGCACTGGGGGTCACGGGGATTCGCTGCCCAGGTTTCCTGGAGGACCTTTTATATTTTCAAGGAGGTTTGTTCGTAAAGCATCTGTTCATTTACTGCAGGCCCTAACAGATCTCCTGCAGCTTGCATCCTGCTGCGCGAGCCACCAAGCGCAAGGTCCCGCTGCGGTGGCAGCGAGGTCCTTCCACCCTTCTCCCAGGGTTTGCTCTCAGCACGCCCGTGCCCCGCGCCTCACCCGCTCCTGTCCCTGTTTTACCTCCTCCAAAGGCGTGCTCGTGCCACGCAGCCCCCTGTGCTCTCAGCCGGAGCCCCGGGGGCCGTCTGGCACTCGGCGGGCTGCGCCGGCCACGCTGCACCTGCCCTGCGGTGCAGCAGGCCCTGAGACATCCCGGCCGGTGACAAGGAGCTCCATGGTCCGAGGAGCAACTCTCCAGCAGGGACTCCTGCCGGCACCCCTGTCCTGGGTGGGGCTGTGTGTCTGTCCTGGGCGGGGATGTGCATCTGTCCTGGGTGGGACACCTCTGCTGCCTGCCAACAACGGGTCTGTCCTTCAGCCAGCCTTTCCCTTCAATAACCACAGAGAAGTCACTGAGCCGGTTAGGGGAAATGCGAGTGCAATAAAAGTGACAGGCCTCGGGGTCAAGGCTCGTTATGACTAACGTAATGAGCTTTTTAGCAAGGCAGATGCCACGGCCATCCGGAGGTGACGGGCTTGGCGGGGCAAAGGGCGCGTCCCAGCGAGCTCCTCCTGCAGAGAGCGGGTCCCTCGCGGGTGGCCGCTGGTCCCCGGGCCCTGTGCCCGCGGGCAGGGCTGGTACCCCGCCTGCAAGGCATAGCCCGGTCTGTTCGGCACCATCACACTTCCCTCCCTCCGTACGCTGCCACCAAAGGTGTCTCTGATCGCGTAAGGCTGCTTGATGCTAAAATATTGCCGTTGTCTCCTTTGCCAGCATTTCCAACCCGACCTGCTAATGCACTCTTAATTTATTATTCCTACTACTCCATTAGCAGGACCATGTGCTCTCACTAGCTCTGAAGTTACCCCATGCTTACCTTCAAGGCCTTACGCGTATTCCTGCTCCCCAGAAACCCGTACCCGCACGCTGCAGGTCAGACGTTCAGCTCCGTCTCTCCAAAGCCCGGTTGCTTTTCCGTATAACCGCGCCGGCTAAAAGCCGGGATGCCAGCGCCACGCACGCTGTGGCCCCAGCCCTCCGTGCTCCTTTCAGACACCGCCTGTGTCCTGCGGAGTCCCCGTGCTCCTCCGTCACCCCTCTCCAGCTCCGTCCCTACCTGCGGGCAGGGGCTGGGCAGAGCAGGCAGGAGCGGCAGCAGCCTCTGCTCCTTCTGCAGTCCATGGGGGGGCCGTGGCAGGATTTTGGGTGCCCTCCAGCCAGTCTCCCTCAGTCCCCACCGCAGAGCACTGGGGGTTTTCCCGCACCGCCACCTCTCATGCAGCCCAAAGCATCTGCAGACGTGTGGGACATGCAGCTGGCCCGGACACCAGAGGCATCAGCGAGCACGGTGCACCACGCTGCTGCCCATGCTGTCCCTTGCTCCTCTCCCATCGCCTTCTTGCCCCGCTTTGCCCTGGCACTGCCCACGGGCATCCCCGGGGAGCTCGGAGCTCGCTGCTGAGGATGGTCGGCTCCTTCCCACCCGCTGCTGGACGCCGGCCGTCCCCTCACCAAAGGGGTGCGGAGGCTCCAGCGCGGAGCAGCCAGGCCAGCGCCCCACACGAAGGCACGGAGGTGAGAGCAGTACAGGCGCTGACGTGGTCCTCGGTGCTGACCGGCTTCTCCCTGGGCTGAAAAGCCTGCCGGTGCAAGATTGCCAACCCCGCTACTAGAGCCACAGTGGAAGAACAGCCACGTAAAAGAAATTAGGGCCCAGCCATGGCCAGATAATGCAAAATCATGTGCTACCAGCACACAGCCGTCTGCAGGAGCCAAGGGCGGGTGGGTGTTTCATCGGTGCTCTGGCTGCCCCGCTGGCCCTGCCGACAGCCAGCTCCCAGGCCCGCAGGCAGGTAGGGCCCTACAGGAAGGAAAGGCGCTTTTGCCCCCCGGGACAGCTGCAATGCTCAGCAGCTGCCACGGAGTCCCCCCCACCCCCAGCACTGGCCTCGGCCAACCCCAGCCCCCGGGGCGGCGCCGG